TATATATATACATATAATCATACCCAACCGGTCATTTTGACTCGGGTGATGAAATTGAGGTCGCTCCAGGAGCTCTCGTCGTAAACCGGTGCTTGGTGTTCCTCCACGTTTACTGTTCCTGCAGAAGATGTGAATATCACACGCTTTACGCTGCCTGACCTCTTGCATGACCTCAGTATGCCCAGCAAACCGTTGATTGCCGGTTGTATCACTTCCTTCTGCGCATGTGGATTTAGCTGTATATTAGCAAGATCTGCCACAACTATATCTATATATTTTTATATATTTCATGATAAAATAATTAAGAAAAAAAGTGCATGTGGGAAAATTTTATAGTATTTTTAGCTAGATTTTTATGCTCTATTATGTTTGATTTTTATTCCAATCTACCCATCAAAGTTTTGTCGGCCATAATAATTTCATTTGTCTTGAATATATCCTTTTAAATGTTGTATTTAAATTTTGAATTTAAAAGCTAATTATATTGGATAAAAATAGATTTGTACGTAATAATAACAATTTATGAAGTGTAGCATGAAGTAATTGGGGAGCAATGTGGAAGCAAGAGTACGAATGCAAAAACCCTCATTCAGTTGTGATTTAATTTAAAATGTTTTTTTTCTTTTTGTAGCGATTATTGTGTATTAAAACTTTAGTTTTTCTGAAAAACGAGGTAATCAAATTTTATATTTAGAATATAAATGATGTTGAACTAAAATCATATGACACTCAAATTTTATATTAAAAAAAATTAAGAGTTGCTATATGAAAATAATTTAACATAATATATAAATTAAATTATATTTTTTTCTTAATGTCAGACTATTTTGACAAAATATCTTGCACGCATGTTCAAAAAAACCTCTTCCGAATAGTTTATAAGAATAACAACCAAATAAGATTGCTAGCTCATAATCCTTGTATATTAAAAATGGTATTTGAAAATCAGCCAAAAAAGTAATCTATTATTATTCATATTCTTACCATCCAAAATTATTTATTTATTTATTGTACAGTTAATAAAATAAAGCATATTTATATTTCCTTTGTTAAATTAAAAATTGGCTACAGTTTTTTGCTATTAAGTAAGAAAATTAGGAATAAACCATATTAACTTTTAACTGAAATTTCAATCATCTTAATTTATACTATTTGAAAACTCATAAAAATTTAGTAAAGATAATCATTTTATTTGTTTTATTTATAAAAAGCTCACAATTTTTGATTTTTTTATAAAATTATGTTCATAATGATAAGATTACAACAAATGAAGACTTAAAATATGAATTCTAGGTAATACTCCTTTCTATAATTTTTTTGCCAGCATTTAATTTTCATTCCTATATTTATTTAAATTCAAATAATATTTGTAAACTATGTTAATGTTGATACCAAATTGGATAAAAAATGTTGAATGTGTTTTTAATGTCATTGATTTATGCCCCCACTAAGAAAAATTTTTAGTTTCAATTTTGTTATAAAAATTCTAATAATTATTATTTTTAAACGTTCATTATTTATTTTATCACCAGGGGTAAGTACTAGAAGGAACTTTATTTATATGTAACTTTCTTGCATCATTTTAGATGTTTTTATTATTTATAAGCTATGAAAATATTAAGTATGCAGTAAATACTTTGCAGTGTTTTATATTTTATCATGAAAAAATAACATTTATTTGAAATATCAATATATATATATATATATATATATATATCCATGCGTCTGAAAAATTTCACACGATCAAAATTCAAAAGGCCAAAATATCTAGGCAACAAAAAATTCTCGGCGATCAAAATATCCATGCATCCGAAACTCATAAAGAGTTATTTTTATTTTATGCTCGTTTTTAAAATTAAAAATATTTTATGTTTTTTTCTCAGACACTAAAAAAACGTGTAAAAAGCATATTGATTTGTAAATTTTTGAAAAATAAGTTAAAATAAAAAAAATTAATAAACCTCAGGGTCTTTGGATTGAAAATTCATGGGAGTAGCGACATGGAACACCCCAACACATCCACATATCACCTCATCAAAGCTCCCTTCATTGTCATTTAGATCTGCTTTCCATATGCTGAGCAGTTCATTCGAGCGCGGAAGATCCAACAACGGCCCCACTTTTTTAGGATTTGCTGAAATTTTTCATATTATATGTAACAAGGGCTAAAATTATGTCGAAAGATTGAATTAATTTTATTTTAAAAAATACTAGTAAATTCTTTTGTATCTAAATACTTAAAAAAGAGATGTGATGCAGATATAAGTTTTCAAGTTCGATTATAAGTTTTTTTCACAATAGATATGAAACTCAATAAATAGAATTTCATTTAAAATTAGGACTGTAAATTAAAATTTTTCATACGTAATATTTGCATCATATTACTGATTGTTCAAAAATTATTGTCAATAATTTTATTTTTAATTCATACTTTTATAAAAAAAATTTATGAACTCCATTTAAGTAATTATATAGTTTGTAATACTCAACTATATCCCTCTAAGGTCAATAAAAATAATTTTAGAAATTGCTGAATGTGAGCTAGCTTGAACCATCAATAACACGAAGTACACCAAGTTTAAACTCACAAAGCATCAAGTCACTAAAAATTACATCTCAAATTAATTAATTACTCATGATTTTGTTTTAAATTGATATTAATTGATAATTCATTTAACATGCCGAGGATAGACTAAAGTCATTCATTAATCATAGCTAAACCCGAAAGAATTATTCAACGTGTCCACAATGCACTTCAGTGGCCTAAGGGTTATTTTTGGAATAACTAGTTATGAGTATTCACCCTCAATTCAAAAATTACTCTAATTTCATCTGATTTGCCGTCCGCTATAGGCTTTATTTATCCATTACATGGTTACTACACGAAGTTCAACTTGTATAATCTCTATGTAACTAAGATAGTTATCAAATTTCGGAATGCCAAACTTGTTGAGTTTGCTTTTTACAAATAGTCTCAACCCATGAGCAAATTTGTGTAACCCTTAGGTGTGTTTAGCAACTAAGTAGGAAGGTCAGTTAAAACTTACTACATAGTGGTTTGTTATGAAATATAACAATAAGAAATTCAACATTTTTAAGAGACAACAACTATGTTGAGTTTTGAGTTGCCAGAAATTGATGTTGATTTCCAACCATTGATTTTAATCTAACTCAAGATTTCATTACAAAAAGTGTTGTACACACACACACATACATACATACATACATAGATATGTGTTTATATATATATATATATATATATATACCCTGCTTAAATCTTGCCATGAAGCAGCCCTTGAAAACATTGATTCCCCTGGCCTGTGCCGTGTATCCCGACCTATTAGTTGGCATCCATGGTATAAAACCTCTCAGGTCGGGGGTTCGAATCTCCTCTGACATAGTTGGTCTTAAAGAGGTGGTAATGAAATTGTTAGGGACATTAGGAGAGGTTGGAGGCTTATGACCAATCTTATATATAGATATGTATATATATATATATAGAGAGAGAGAGAGAGAGAGAGAGAGAGAGAGAGAGAGAGGGAGAGAGAGAGAGGGAAGAGGAGGAGAGAGAGAAAGAGAGAGGTACACATAGTTCCAATGAATGCCATTAAAGTTATTTAATTATTACATTCTTCAAATATTAATTTGATCTTAATGCTTTTAGATCACAAGATAATTTAATAATTAATTTATATTTGTATTATTGAAACATATTCAAATCATCTTAAGACCCCCTCAAATATATGAGAAAATTAATAGCATCTATGCCGATTTAGGTAAAAAAATACTAGACGATTAACTTACTATAATATGAGGCAATTACATACCATTCAACCCCGGTGTAATACCTTTTTTTTTTTTTAATTCCTATCTGGTATATACATTTCGAATAACTTAACTTTAATTTTGACATTTATACCACCTAAATCTTTTATATCACACCAAAAATATAACTTTTTTAACTTTTAAAAATCGAAACACTTATTTTCATGCATAGATAATGTGTGGCATATATGTAAAATTAAAATTCAGATTTTAAATATGTAAAGAAATACAAATTAAGTGGTATGCTTGCAAAAGTTCCTAAATTTTATATAAAAAATGTCTTAACTATATGTAGAAAAAATTACACATCACCATAGTCATTATATTGCTTTGAATAGATTGGAATGAAATTGTAATGGATGTTAGACTAACTTGGGTCTCTGACTGTAGCCCTGACCTCATAACCCTTTTGAAGAAGCTTCATAACCAGCCACGAACCCACGTACCCACTGGCTCCCGTCACCACGACCGGACCCTTCCTCTCATCCTCCATTTCTTCCTTTTTCACTGCAGATTTTTAAGCGCAAAGGCCATCAATTTATAGAACACAACTAGCGATTATTCTCACCAGAAGTGTAAGCGCTCACCGGCCACCCAGCTCTTCAATGGTTCATATGGACGATGGGAGCCACTCAAACTACTACAAGCACCGACAACCTGACCAAGTATTGAGACCAGAGCAAACTTATGACACGTAGCAGATTTTTTGTGGTTGGGTTTTGCCGTTCAGATTCAAACTCCCAACACCCCTGGATAATTGACCGGCGGATGGAGAACGGTAGTTGAAGCTGGGCGTGAAGGGTGGTTAATATAATTAAGTGTGTTAGATAAATTGCGTTGTTATAGGCCTATTAAAATAATGACATTTGGACCATTTTATAAATTTAAGAACACATTGATACCACAACAATTTTCATAGTCTAAACTGAGGGTCCTTTTGGGAGAGCGTTGGGAACGCAGAGCGGGGCGTGACTGTGGAGTTAAGCTGTTTGGGAGCGCTATGGGGTAGCTGTGTCGCGCCTATTTGCGGCCGGCGTTCGATAGTTGGCTTTTTACAAATCAAGCCCCGCTCCTTTGGGAGGAGACAGAGGTCCATTCGTTGTGTTTGAGTTGCTCTGCTGTGAAAGCAGTGGATGGGCTTAGGGTTTTTGACGAGGCGAAGGATGACAAGCCTGCTTGTGTTTTTTTTCTTTTTTTTGTGGTTGCTACTTTCTCGCTGTCATGCACTTATTATAAAGAACAAAGCAGCACCTATCCTCTATTCAAATATATGACATCACAACAAACCCTGATTATTAGGTTGTTTACGAATCTTAGTCATGCATGAATATGGGGTTAGGTGTTTGTTGTTCATTAAAATTTAACTGTAGCATGTTTCCTAATTTGCTTATTTGCTCGAAGATATGGACCCCCATGCTCCTTGTTTTTCCAGCACACAAGAAGGAAAGATTGTTAAAAATTTCTTTAATTTGTTACATATATTTTGGTGGATTTCAAGGGATGGATTTAAGAGCTTATTTAGTACCAGTAGTTTTTTAACATAAATTAGCTTAACCCCTTTGAAAGTGATGGATTGGCGTTCTTCATAGATTTAAAATACCGCTTAATCCTTCTGAACAAATGAGTCTACGCACAAACTTGAAAGACTAGAGGGCCCATGTTTTGCAGATATTTCTTCTATCTGCAGTTTGGAGAAAGGTTCTACATTGTATTATCAAAATATTTAGTTCATATAACCAATAGTCTATAGAATTTAATAGAAGCATGAAATTAATGTAGACTGTTATGCAACTTATGAATGACTTGCATGGTCAACCATTTTTGAAATGAAATTGCCTCATAGCTATCAATCAGGACTAAAATTACAACACTCGATTTTTATTTTAGAAATGTAAATTTTCTTAAACATTAAACAGTGTGATTTTAATCAGCATCCCTTATGAAATCCATCTTTCTTTGCTACAATAATGTTCCAAAAAAGTAGAGGCGCTCTCAAACCAATAATTCGTGAAAGTTTAGATACATAGATAAAGTTTAGCTCATAATTGGGAAGTTTTAGACATTCCTTGATTTTGATTCTTAGTGGAACAACAAGTTCATCTTTTTTCTCAGCGAAGATGTCAATTGGTTTTAGTTTCACATATTTTATTATGGCACCATGTTTTGTGATAAGATAAATGATAGAAATGTATATAGTAGAGAAAAGGTTGCAAACTTTCTTTATTGCTTTCGATGAGTCATTTTATTGATTTTTATGTCAATTCATTTCCTGGGAATTAAAGAATAAAGGCATGTTAGAAGCATTAAATTAAAGAAATGTATAATTTGTTACATTTGAGTGCTCTAGTGTCAAGCTTATCCCAATGTTGTTTTTTGATGTGAATATAAGCTCCAATCTGGATAAATGGATTAATGGACGATACCTTGTAATTTATCTTTCAATTCTTGTATTTCTTGAGCATTGAAGTTGATTTTATTTTTTTTTAGAAAAGGCGAGATCAATAGATATGTGCTGATTATAATGGAATGCTAACTTGTTTTAGAGCTATTGATATTTTTTGAGCTATTCCTGTTCAGTTCCATAAACTATCGACACTCATTGTTTAGTGAGTTGTGTATCTTAACTTTTATTCTATTTTGAAATGAATTTATGCTTCTGAAGTAATAAATATGCAGCTGTCATGGTTTTGTTTTAAACATCTTTACTAAACTGGGGCGGAATTGTCATTTTTACAGAAACAGTTGCCCTACAGTGGTTTTTACACAGCTACCACAAACAAACATCTAGCTTCCTCGCGGCAGCTTCCTAGGGCAGCTGCAGCTGCAGCTAAAAAGTTGAGAAGCTGCAACTACCCCAAACAGACCTTGATTTATCAACGAGACATATACTTGAATACTCATCAATTAATATGTTTGAAATTTTAAACCTTTGAATAAGGGCCATGATTAGTTGATTAGCGTCTTCAATATTATTAACATTTTAGATGTGAAATTATTTTTGCAACGTGGTATATATGTCAATATATAAAGAGTTGTTTTTTTTTCCAAGCAAGTTAAGCACTTGAATTCAGTCCTTTAGAATTTTGCAGTTGAAAAAAACGAGTTGTAGGGTGCATTTGAGTAGAAGCAATTCAAATAAAGAAAATGAACAAGTAATAAAAAAATAAAATAAATGCTAAAAAAGAAATGAAATTTATTTCAACATATTTGTTTGGTTATTTGCTTGAAAATGTGTTAACATTAATCATGAGGAATTGTAAAAGTTCCGAAGGGAAAATTACGATGGAAGGCCCACTAACAAAAGATCATGAAGGAAACTCGTTCGACTAAGATAAATTGTCTGAGCCAAGCTAGTAAGGCCAAAGCCTAACAAACCATAAGATGAACGAAAGATGACCTGAGGATACAAGAACAAGCCACTCATCAAAAATGAGAAATGAATATCTGATCCAACCACCGCAAAACAGTCAACTCAAAAAAAGATTTGGTTCCCTAGCATCACCAACCATCCCAGGAAAGTCTAGAAGCCCCTCAATAGAGGACAATGATCGACAATCGAGCCATATCAGCTCGCTGATCCATATCAACTGCAAGCTCAACAGACCAATTCATATCGAACAAGCTCAGCTTACCAAGCTGGTCCATATCGATCAAGATAAGTTGACTGAATTGATCTTATCCACCCAAATTTGACTAAGGCCAACTGATCAAGTTAGAAACTAGTCAAACGATAGGCTTTCACATGTAAAATACTAGAAATGCCCTATTATTGTCTCTTTTAAAGTAGAAGCAAAAATATAACATCATCATATTGTGATATCTCCCACGTAAATAGGAAAATCATATTATAATGCAGGTTCTCTTACTTTTATGTGGTTATTTTGTCTCTTGTACGGTTTTCTAATTTTATTTTGATTAACCTTGGCCTTTTGTTTAGTTATTTTCCTAGATTCCTTATTTATCTTGGGCTTTCCATCTTTCTTAAGTCTTACTTTTGGTACTTTTTGTGGGTTGCCCATATATTGTTTATAACTTTTTATTTCCATTACGTACGCTTAGGTGTGCCCCTCTAGGTGGAGCTTTTATTTCATTTAATCTTTATGGAGTTTCATTTTCTCCTTAACCTCATTTCTAAATGATTGCATGGGTTTCTTTGAGGACTGATCCCAATATTTTTTATATGTAAGATTTATGAAGTTCACGCTACTACTTGAATATTTTAATCCCCGGTAACGGTGCCAAAAACTTGGTCCTTATTCTCTTGATAGGTGTCAATGCGATGTGTGTGATTATATGTCCAACTTTCTTAATTATAATTCTTAACTTGTAACAAAGCCAAAATCTTGATCCCAAGCAAAAATTAGGTAAATTTCTCACTTTAAAGCAAGTAAGAATACAATTATAATATTTTATATGGGATACTACAGAAGTATACGTATCATTATCAAGTAATATAAAAATTTCTGATTAAGCCTCGAATATCGAATCCACAAGAAAAATATATTATGTACTTTAAGAAACAGGAGAAATTAAATAATCAAACCTCTTTAGCAAAATTTTCTTACTTAAATTCTAGATACTAAAATAGGAATGAAAGTTCAATTCTTTTTGTAAATTTTTTGGTAATTGAGAATAAAGTAAGCAACTAACAAATATAACTAGATATTTGCAAGATGATGATAATATAAATAAATTATCTTTTTTCTGATCATGAATCAGTAAAAAGTATGTAAATTCTATTGTGAAAGTATTTTAATTGTGTTGTGCCAAATAAGAGCAATAATATTCTTTACTCTTACTAGAGATGCTATTAAAAACATTGGCTAATCTATAATATGAATAGACTTGAAGACGGGTTAGGCAGGGAAGATACTGGCTCTCACTCTAGAGTTTTCTCTTCTTCCTCCACCTGGGGGCTAACATCTCTTATCAAAACTTAAAACTATAAGGCAAATTGGGGTCTTTAGATTGTCACTCTATAATCCTCAAATTCTATAACCTTCAAATTTTATTTCCATAATTATTTTCACTCAACCACTTGAACTACATTCTCATTCATGAAATCAAATGTGTTTCTTACCATTTGTTGACTGAGACAACACCATCTCAGATTTTATAAATTCTCACAACAGACATTAACTTTTTAATTGGCCAAATCAAGAAGTAAATTAAATACGTGGTCTAAAAACAACACAACTTCTTTCGGCACTAAAGTCTAATAATTCACACAACTTCTCCCCAATAATTAATCACTTATCATTTTAATAAAAAATATACAGAAAGATATTCAAATTAATGAAGAAAACACAAACACACTTGAATTTAAAAATAAAAAATCATGCACACAAATAAGAAGTCTAAATTAAAACAAAATGTAGTCAGAAAGATAAATACTTATCTCAAGAAAGATAAATACTTATCTCAAAATGTAGTCAGAAAGATAAATACTTATCTCAAATCCTCTCCATCAAATCTCTTGAAGTTTCTTTACATCTTTTCCTTCACACGCAATACAAACTACACTCAAAATAAAAATAAAA